ACCGCACACCACCAAAGAGAAAGAAGCCTCGCACGTCCTTCTCCAGAGTGCAGATCTGTGAGCTGGAGAAGCGCTTCCACAGACAGAAATACCTGGCCAGCGCTGAACGGGCAGCTTTGGCCAAAACTCTAAAGATGACAGACGCACAGGTCAAAACATGGTTTCAGAACCGCAGGACTAAATGGAGGTGAGGCAAAGAAAGGGAAAAGGAGAATATGTTAATATGAAACATCAAGAAACGTGGTGAAAGAAAGTGTGATCTGAGAACAAACGCACTATTTCACTAAAACAATAATTCCCATTAGATCTTTCACAAAATACAATTTTTCTAATTTTTCCATTAGTTACTGTCCAATAATTTAACCTGTGAAAAAGTTGATTGTTTTACCTACAATGTCGTCATCTTGGAATTATAAGGTTCTATCTGCATTTTGAATGATTTTGAGATATTGAGCTTCAAAGTTTTTGCATTCCATAGCAAACAGAATGTGTGTAACATTTTTTTTTTTTTTTTTATAAAAAGTCTTAAAATGTAAACAACTTATAAAAAAACATCCTATAATATAAATAAGTTGTCATTTAATAAGAATATGTCAACTTAATTTTGACAAAAATGTCTGATAGAACCTTATAATTCTAAGGTGACGATGTTATAACAGCAGACATGATGTTTTAAATTTGCGTGTCAAATGATTGAACAGAATTAAATGTATATTTTAACAGCCATTGCTGTATTCGTTACTTAGGGTATTCTAAAATATAGGCCTTTGTGAACTATATAATTTGAATCATTGCAGATTCACATTCATATTTCTAGTAATATACATGGCCAAGACAAGACGCCTCATTCTGGTGTCTGCATGAACAATAAATAACCTCTTTACTGTAATGTTTCAAATAACTTTTTGTCAAATGACTTACTGTTCCTGACCTGTGATTATTAAAATGTTAAAATCAAAATTAGTGATTATATTTTTCTCACTTTTATTAGACATGAATTTTAATAAAATAAACATTATCTAAAGATTCTTATTCTAAATATCTGACAGTTGGTTTGATAATAGAAACTGTTAAGTGATAACACAATTAAGTTGTCCTGCAAAAGACTCGAGCATTGTGTTGTTTCAGCTCATTTTAAATAAGTAGTTTGAATAAGCAGCAAAATATATTTTTGAGTGTATATGTATCAAATTAGTTTATTGTCTGTCACTACATGAAATCACTTGATTTGACCAACTAACTGCCTTAATACCTGTAAGAATTAATGGGAAAATAATGGGGTTGTCAAGAAGAAAAATTAATTATTAATTAAAACAAACACGCTAACGACATGCAACACTTTGCAGAAGTGACTGCTTGAACATTACTTAATTTAATATTTAAACGATTTACATTTTTGAAAGGTTGACGTACATTTTCTGCAAAACTGTCAGCTTCAGCCTTTCAAAATTGTAGAAAAATTAAATCTAAATCTTATATCAGTAAATGTACACAAGTGGTATTGGTCCTTTAAAAATCCCACTAGCTTCCTGTAGTTTTAAACAGTTAATCTTTAGATTACTTTAATAGTGATTTCACTCAATAATTTAATGTTCATGCTGAAAACGGAATAGGTACGGTATGTGTACAACTTCTAATCTAATCTATATCATTTCTCTGTATGTTAGAAGGCAAACGGCGGAGGAAAGGGAAGCAGAGCGTCAGCAGGCCAACCGGCTAATGATTCAGCTTCAGCATGATGCCTTCCAGAAATCTTTGACTGATTCAGTTCCAACAGATCCGCTCTGCATCCACAACTCATCCCTGTTTGCCCTGCAGAACCTACAGCCTTGGGCTAGTGAAGAGAGCAGCAAGCTTGGAGGAGTGACGGCGCTCGTATGAGTATCACAACTCAAAGGAAAAGACATTCTTTGTTTTGATGGACTAGGATGTTGGTTGACTTTATCCCCATCCCAAATGACTATTTCATTCAACCACAAAAAAGGCGAGGAACTAATTTCGGCAGTCTACAAATGAGCAAACCCATATAAATAAAAAGGCCTTTCCAAAATAAATGAAGGCCGTTTTCTGTGGTGTGTCTGTGAGTACAGAGACTTTTATCCCCATCAGGGTCAGTTTCATTGACAAACTGACCCAAAGGAAGGACAGGGCATCTCAGCTGACCCTTTTACAGAGCTACTAATCTCCTCTTCCATCCTTTCATTTGCCCTTCTGCCCCCCGTGTAATTTCTCCACCACTCAGAGCTGTGCAATACAGGATTAATGCAGAAGAGGGAAGTAACAATGAATTAATTATTCATAATGCAAGTTGCACGACCTAAAATGCCCCCAATAATGCCATGTAAGAAAATAAGGACAAAAAGTATTTTTAAAGAGTAGTACAGTCTTCAACACATATAATTTCATTTCTTTCTCAAGTTGGGTATTATAGCAAAATGTATCATTTCAGATTTTAACCCACACAAAAATAATTCAGAGTTGGTTTGAACCCAATTTGCATTAAATATGGACACACTTAACATTTGAATTATTACTAATATTTATTTAATCATTTCTTTAAGTTTTTTTTTTTTACCTTTTATTGGGATAGGATAGTGGAGGACAGACAGGAAAACGTTGAGAGCAGAGAGAGGGGAAGGGTCGGCATAGGACCTCGAGCCAGGAATCGAACTTGGGTCACATGAGCCCTATGGTGCTATATGTCATCGCTCTTAACCACTAGGCTATTGGCGCAGACCATTTTAATTATTTTTCAATTAAGGTTTTAATTCAGTGGTTAGGTTTGTCAACATTTTCACCCAAATTCTTGAGTGAAGGAACAATAACACTCTCCTATTTGTGTTTTTATTTATATTTATGAAACGGCATCCCAACAATTTGAGGAATAGGATGAAGTGTCCTGAAGAAAGGTGTATTATGTATTTTGCAGTGGTTGCTATTTTTATCACCCGCATTCCATTCAGTAGTATCTTTAAATGCAGCTCAGAAACTTTTTCGAAACAGTCCAGTGGCTGAGCGTTGTGAGTCAGAGGGAAATGAACAATTTAAAGGGTTTGTGAGATGACCCTGTGATGTAGGTGTGCTGTTGCATCCCAAAATCTGTATTATACTTTGTATTTGATAAATATGTAAATAGCAAACAAAAAGTAATAAACATTGTTTTGGCATTAACACAAAAGGTGAGCTTTGCTTAATTTGTTATTCCCCTAATGTTTTTTTCTTTTTCAAAGAGGCGTATTCCAAATCCCTAAGCAGCACTCTTCTCTAGAGTAATGCATTGCTTTCAGAGGTCCTACTACCGTTCTACACAACTTGATCGACAAATAAACACTGAGTCCTGGTTGTTGGCTGAAGTCGATTATGCCTGCCACAGCAAAGAAGCACTTACATCCTCAGGCAGATAAATGCGGGATCCTGTGGGACCATAAAAATGCCTTTATGCCCTCTGCAACCAACTCTCTCCTCCCAAAGTGCTGACTCTCAGGAACTGACCTGCTTTAAAGGCCTGGGTGGGGGTAAATGGAGGGGTGTCCATTATAAAGTGATTTAACAGACTCCTTACATTATGATGCTGTCGAGGCCTCTGCAGGGTGAACCTGTGGAGTTCCACCACCTCTCTTTGACAGATGGTTAGTGGTGACCTGTGCCAGGGCCTCTTTGACTGGAGAGGGTGAGGTGATGTGTGTAGATGAGTCGAGGTCATCTGAAAAAGCCTTCAGTCACAGAGACTCATTAGTCAGGATAATTTACACAGGAAGTATTCTGGCTTCTTTCCACATCTGACATCACATGTACTGTACAGTTGCTCAACTACAAACTGTTTTGTAAAAAGTGGTGTTGTGCTGCCTTCTGCTGGCTGTTACTTGCAACTGCTTATATTTAAGAAACACTTTTACTGGACGTTTGCCAGCAAGCAAATTTGTTTAATAGAAGTCTAATAGACATCTAAACGTAGATAGCTTGGCTAAAACAAGGCTAAACTTGTGCTGTCGGTGAAAATCTAAGACATCTAACAGTCCAAAACTAGACTAGTCGTCAAACAGACTTTAAATGTGGTCAATCATTTCTGTTTATTTGAGTAGTTTTGACATTTTTAGACGCATATAAGATATTCACTGACAGCACAAGTTTAGCCTCGTTTTAGCCAAGACTAATTTAGACGTCGATTAAACAAAAAAAAAAAAAAAATGCTTGCTGGGTTGTCTTGTACGCTAACCAAAACCACGTAAAATACTGTAAATTGGATTAACTTTTGGATTATGAGCTACCCGAGTTTCAAAATGATTTATAAATATGTTAACCATATATGATAAGTAGCAAACGTGGCAACGTTAAAACAATTACAGAGAAACGGTGCAGTGCATGTAAAAAAAAACCCTGAAATGATTCAAATTAGCCAAAAACGCATAGTATAAGAAAATGTCACACGACATAGACATCTAAGCGGGCAAGAGTACACTACAGTAACTTTTTTTTGCACAGCACGTTAAATTATGCCAGGATGACAATTGCCAAAACCTCGTTAGCTAAACGAACATTGCAATCAATGGACCATAAAATCAATACAAATGTTTATTACAAAAAGACACTGCTCCTTCACCTGTCCGAGTTCCAAATTTTGTGTTTTTCATCACACATGTACAAGGCCAGACAGAATACGTGAAATTTATAGCGAATAATTTTGTAAGTATAATAAACATGAAATTGACTTTTTAAACTTTAAGACTTACCATATCCAACGCATCTTACATACAATTACAATTAAAACATTCTTTGTAATGGCAAATCTCATATTCACTTAGACAAAATATAACCATGCAAACTGTACTGTAAATAAATCATTTGCATATTAGTTACTAAGAAAAGGAACGTATACGCAAGTTAATAGACTTAACAAGCAAAAATTCTGCAAACTTCTGCACATGGAGATTCTGTGTGGTCTTACAAGTCATGACATTTATTGCACTTTTAAAATTTGACACACTAGACAACAGCTGGGCTTTCAGTTGTGAAATATATCCTTTATTTGCATTTAAACATTTCAGAAAGTCAAAAAACAGAACCACATCTGAAATGTCCTGAGTCCTGATTCTGTTGAGACAGGGCTGCAAAGTCTGTGACATTACAATACATTGATGACATCTGAAGACCATTCAATCCTGAACATACAATGGCATTTAACTCTTTCCAGGGAATGACAATTACAAAATAATATCAACTGCTGCTGAAATACCAGAATTAAACATTGAGGCCATTCTGAAACCCACTATTCATACATTGCATTATCGCATCACAGATCTAACCAGATAGCTATGCAGACATTTCCATGTCAGTTTAAAGAAAACATGGACGGGCACCACCAACATATCTTTATATAAATCAGAGCTTCATAATTGAGCAATACTGCAGCCAAGTTAACCTCACACTCAAATGACATGACTGAGGGTAAGGACAAGGCAGACTGAACAAGGTCAAGTTGTTTCAAGTCATTTCGAGGAATGGCACGGATTTAACATAAAAACTGAAAGGTATGGGGACAAACAAACATAAAATTGCAGGTAACAAAAGTAAAATCGTGTGGGAAAGGGGCTTAATTTAAGCAAAATAAAAGGCGTTTTAGTTCATTTATTTGACAGTCTGTCTCCACTTCCAGAGCTCCTCAACAACCTTGGGAAAAACAAAACAGAAGCATAAGACCTTCACAATTAGTGCTCTCAGTTTCAACACTTTATAATCTGCAGTTAAGTAAAATGATGAATACAAACAAATCGTGAGTTTATATTTTAAATTAATTCTTAAAATGCCCAGAGATTGACAAAACACATTGAGACGTTTTATTATAATTTCTAAGACAAAAAAAGGCAATTAGGAAAATGCCAGTTTATACATATTGAAAAACTGCATGCAAAATTTTTTTGTCATGGTTTATGGTTTGGAAATCGTTTAGCAAACTATTAACCAAAATATATGGCGGCAAATCAATGCCAATATTAATCAACACAGCAGTGATGTTTGCACGCGAGGAGAAGTGAACCGTGAGCAGATTACAGGTCTACATGCGAGAAAACTACAGCTCGCGAGCGCACAGGGGATCTTCACTCGCGCGCACAACTGATCCAGCGCGAGAAAAAAAAAAGTCCCGCGCGCGCACAACATCATCATCATCTGTACGCATGATGTACGCTCTCGCGAGCGAGGTCATGCCTACAGCGCACGATCAGTTCTCTCCACTCGCTGGTTCTTCTCTCTGCTCGCGCGTAACATTTTGGATTTGTCAGTCCTAGAGCGGGACTTGGTTTACTTATCTCTAACGCTATTGGCTACTCTACCTTTCCGGAAGTTAGCCGGGATTGGACGCAGGTAAGCTAGTTTCCCCGTTAAATAAAAATATAAAGGATATCTTATCATAATGTCACAATCTGAAACTAATAGACTTAATTTACTTTCTCAGTAATAATAGGTGACGACTTACTTTCAATAATGAGATATTTCTTGTAATAATTAATCTCATAATAATGCCTATTCTTACCATCATGACCAAGTCATATAATGACATATCAAAATAATGAGATATATTCTTGTAACAAACTTTATTACTTGAGAGAGAAAGAGAGAGTTATACCATGTGGCAAAAGATCTCTCCATTAAACAGAAATTGGGGAAAATATACATGGGCTAATAATTCAGGACGAGTAATTCAGACTTTAATTGTGTGTTTTGAACCATGATGAAGTTTAGCGCCTACATTTAAACTAAACTCAAGCCAAACTTGTTTGAATTTATAAAAATCTTTTTTTTTTTCTTAGACTCATTGTCCTTGACTCATTTTCTATGAAGAACAAGTCAGAATAAATTGGATGGACAATAATATACAAAATAGGCTATACATGCATGAAGTGCATAAAGTACAAAGGTTTATAGTAAATATATTGCCATTAGTCTGTTATTCCACTTTACAGTTAAAGTCAGAATTATTAGCCCGCCTGAATTATTAGCCCTCGTTTATTTTTATCCTAATTTTTATTTAACGGAGAGATTTTTTTCAACACATTTCTAATCATAATAGTTTTAATAACTCATTTCTGATAACTGATTTATTTTATCTTCGCCATGATAACAGTAAATATTATTTGACTAGATATTCTTCAAGACACTTCTATACATCTTACAGTGACATTTAAAGGCTTAACTAGGTTAACTAGGCAGGTTAGGGTAATTGGGCAAGTTATTGTATAACGATGACTTGTTCTGTAGACTTTCGAAAAAAATAAATAGCTTAAAGAGGCTAATAATATGGACCTTAAAATGGGTTTTTAAAAATTAAAAACTGCTTTTATTCTAGCCGAAATAAAACAAGAAAAAAAGTGGGCTAATAATTCTGACTTCAACTGCATATGTGACCTTTAAGATGTTGGCATGTTGTATAGAAAATGGTATTTGTATGCCTCTGAAGTGGAATAATGTAATGGATACATGCAGTGAGTAAAGCCAAACGAAGATTGTAGAAATTAAATTGTTGCTCAATAGGTGGCGATAAACACCCATCTGAATGTCTGTCACTGTATTCTTTGTTTGATTGGGCCAATCATTTTTGATTGAAGTATATGCAGGTTATTCAATCATTAATTAAAAATGATTGAAAAGTATAAATATTTTCCACTGATCTATATTACAAACAATGTTAATAATTATAATAATATACAAAGCTGCACTGCACATATAGTATGCATTGTATGGAAAGATCTAAAAAGCAAATAAACTCTTCTGAAGACAATATTTCCTAGAAAGATCATCCCCAAGTGTAATAATGAGCACTGCTGTTGGGGTTAATAATAAAATAAAATACAACAAACCAGACAAGTGCTGCACGGGACAAATCAAATGGGTTTAGAAAGTCATGTTACAAGAATGCAAGTCATTATTTTAGAAGATTAATTATTATTATTTGACTGTTTCTTGAGATTGAATCCTCAAAGTTCTCAGAAAGTTTCTTATGATTATGACTTGCAAATTGTATATATATTTAATGGCGGGATCTTTTAACCTGCGTCCAATCCCGGCTAACTTCCGAAAAGGAAGAGTAGCCAATAGCGTTAGAGATAACAAGAAAAAATCCAAAATGTTTCACGCGAGCAGAGAGAAGAACCAGCGAGCGGAGAGAATTGATCGCGCGCGCAGACTTTTTTTTCTTGCGCTCCAGTGGAGTGGGCGCGTGAAGATCCCCTGTACGCTCGCAAGCTGTAGTTTTCTCGCGTGTAGACCTGTAATCTGCTCACGGTTCACTTCTCTTCGCGCAAACATCACTGCTGCGCTCGATTAATATTGGCATTGATTTGCCGCCATAAAAATATCCCTATCAAAACACAAGAGCAATGAACGTACCTTTGGATCTGTGCCTTTGAAGCAGTTATTCACATAGTTCTCAAACTTCAGCTGTACTTTTGGTAATGACACACCCTGCACAAAAAAAGCAAATAAAGAACTTAAGTGTTTTTGTTAACTCGCTGTAATTTCACTTGCTGAGGGGATGCACAGAAAAACCAACCTTTGCTACACTCTCCATCATCTTGGACTTGATATCGGCTAAAGTCCGTGGTGTTTGTGGCATTTTGGGTGTCTGTTCTTTCTTGCCCTTTTGTGGAGTCTGTTTCCATAAAACATCATTTTAAAACAACAAGGCTAGGCAGACTACAAACATGAACCTCTACTTTCAAGAAGAAAAAAAGATATACAAACCTGTTTAGCAGGTGTACTGGGTTTGGGTCCTTTTCCATTCTGTGTAGGGGTCTTTGGTTTCGCTGGTGCTTTCTTTTCCTGATAGAGAACAAAGAGGAAAAAAATTAGTTGATTCAAAATTATATTTATAGCACTTTAAACAATGTGCACCCTGAATATATCCTCACTTTCACAGGTGACTCCTCTTCACTTTCATCTTCCTCATCGTCATCTTCATCATCATCATCGTCCTCATCACTGTAAGGAAAAGTGGGAATATTTTTACTTTATTTTTACTAGATATATTTGAATATAATAATTTGATTGGTGATCAATTCTCAAAAGCTTTTTATTAATACTTGCTCACATTCTAGATAAAAATTCAGAAGTCAACATCTGAAATAAACACAAACTTTAATAAAATCCTGAAAATAAAAATGTGTTGATAAATATTTTTAGGACAGCTCCGATGAAAGGTTTGCACCACTTCAAATGTTGACTACTGCATGCTTATCCAGGATTTCTGCAGATATTATAATGTAAAATTTAAGACTTTAAGACTATTAAGTATTAAGTTTAAGACCTATAGCACAATTTCAAAAACACGCGAGAGAAAAGGTAAAAAAATAAATACATTTTTTTAAAATAAAAATTCACAAAATTTGTGGTAAAATAAATGTCTTTAAATTGAAGACCGGAGTACTAAATTGTTCACCGTAGTACTACAGACAGGTTATATGCACCATTGAACTACAGAAAAAACAAACACCTTAATGCTGATTTATACTTTCTCCTGGCACCGCGTCACACGCCTCACAAACGGACTTGGCATTTATATACGACACGTTCGCTAGTCTAAAATGATAGGGGTGGTCAAAAGAAACAGACAGTAAAAATCAGACGAATTTTTTGGGCCTTTAATTTTGTTTTAATAAACTTACCCCCCAGGTTTTTACAAACTCTTACAAAAACTTTACTCCTTTCCCACTGCTGTAGCAATTTCTTGTCAAGAATTGTTGGTCATCTGGTTCTCTCTATGATCACGCATGGACGGATCATAAAGATGTCGGCACAGACGTACCGGTTTCACACAAAATCTCTTCAAAGCGTTTCATATTCAACTCAAATGTGACGCCATGCCATTTGTTCACCGGAGTCTCAAAAAAAATTCTATTAGCTTCGCTATGGTGTTACTTCCAGTCAAGAGCGCATTTATGTAATACAAGCAGGCAAATCTATTTGCTCGTGCACCGATTTCCTCTGTTTGTGGACAAAACTGCAAATTTTCTCACTCTCAAATATGCACTGCTCCTGCACCATTTTTTTTTCCTGCTCTCAGTACATATTTCCCTCTTCCTTTCGTGCTTTTTGATATGATTTATATTGGTACACTATTAATTAACAAGAACCAAAATACTTAAATAGACTTACATATTACATTTTTAATCTAATAAACCATAACATTGACTGTTCTATGATGAGATTTCCGGTTTTAATTTAATCACTCTTAAAATAAATCTCAACCAAATCTAATTTTTATCATGGCAACTAAAATAATGTAAACTAGTCTCTGCTGTACAGTTTTGTAAAGTACTTCAATTAATAATACTATATTTGCTATAGTAACAAAGGTGTAACAAACAAACAATCCAGTGCTGTAGTTTTTTTTAACAATATAGGGTATATTATTCTACAATACACCAAACTTTACTGTAGTAAAACTACACTGTATTTCACTTTATCGGTTTACTATTCTTAATACTACAGTATGCTCAAGCATCTCTAGAGAGCAAAAGCACGAAAAGAGGAGGATACACAAGCCATAAAAAGTGCGAGTCCGCATTGTGCGACGGATCTAGAGCAGACCATTTACACACGAGTTGCCAGTGTTGAGTGCACGTGAAAAAGTTACACGAATGCGCTCACGACGTGTAATACTGCGCTGACAACATTAGTCAGTGAAATATTGCCATACTCTGCCAGCCGAAATCATGTGGCGTGCAACCACAGCGTACCTCCGCAAACACATCGATGATGTCACATTCGCTGTGCGCACTGAGATTGGCTATTGCAAGTTGACATTTTTGTAATTGTAATACCGCAAATAACAATTGGACTAGTTAAATAAAAAAAAATGGCAAAACGCCAAAAACCTAGCAGCAAAAAAAAAAAAAAAAAAAAGAATTTAAATGAGCATTAGATTTAGCGTTACATGGACGTCGCAAAAATAAGACGTGGAAAAATATTTAAGACCTAGAACACCGAATTTCAGCCTTTAAGGCTTTAAATTTCGATTTTTAAATTTTAGACTTAAGATTTTATAAGACCCTGTGGAAACCCTGTTATCTGGTGCTTGCAAGTGGCTCTTTTGAGCAGAAAGCAGATTGCAAGCCATTTCACAGAACCAAAACACTCATTTATCAGTAATAGTTGGTAATCAACTAAAAAGAAGTTGATTTCAATTCAACATATTTTTTACATAAATCATTAATACAAAGATGTTATTAAAATACAATGACATTACATGTTCCTTATGCCAGTTTGTCAAATTAAATATTTCTGATCAAAATTAAATATTTCTGATCCACAAATATCTTATGTATTGTCTTGCAAAAAGACATAGTAAACCCCTAAAAAAATTGCAACGCCAACACAAACCCCTGGATTACTTTTGAATAATATTTCAGGTGAAATCTGATGAAATCTGAGAACTCCCTCATCCTCAACAGACAGCAACGGTCTAAAAGTTTAAAAACAAAATCCTTAAAAAAAAAAAAAAAAGACCATATGCCTTTAGTGCTTCAATCGTAATATCAATCTATAAGATTTGGATATGCACACCCTTACAAAAATAGCCTACAGGAATCCTGCAGGATTTTCATTTTTTTCTGCAGGAACCTGCTGGTATCCTGTAGGAATTATGAAATCCTGCAGGACAAATTGACAATATGTGCAGGCAATTCCTACAGGTTTTAGAATCATGCAGTACTTTTTGCAGGAATCCTGAAGGATTCATTTTTTTTCCCTGCAGAAAAGCTGCTGTCCTGCAGGAATTCAAAAATCCTGTAAGACACATTGACAATATGTGCAGGAATTTCCTACAGGTTTTTACAATGGATCCAAGCAAGTGACAAATCCTGCAGGATTTTATAATTCCTGCAGGGCTTGCAGGAATTATTTGTTGTAATTGGAATGAAAGAAATTGTGTCACTTGTTTTTGGTAGCAATACAATATGAGTTCTAACAGATAAACATTACAACAAACAAACAAAATATAAGAAAATAAATACATAAAGTATACAAATAGATTATAGGCAATTATAAAAATCAACCATTACACTAAACCATTCAAATTATGCATTTATGCAAACAAGCAAGCTGTACACTTTTACGTTTCATTTCTATACTTTTTTTTTCATTTATTAAAAATCTGTTTGGTTAGATGCAAAAAATAAATAAATAAAATAAATAAATAAAAAAAATGCAAGACCTGTCCTTGAGGTAGATATATGTTAAACGTATGTCTGTGCATTTTATGAGTTCAACAGAGTCTCTTCCTCTTTCTTTTAAAATGTTTGTTGCTGTTATCCTTTATTCTCTGTCTTTTTGACCTGAGCAACCTATTTTATTCTGTGTCCATTGCCTTTTTGTGGCAGCTGGAACTGGTGCCTCTTCATTTAAGTACAATTTTTACTCCATTTTTATTCTTTTAAAAGAAGCAGGTTACGGTTATTGTTCAGGTGATTGGTAAACATAATGTGTTTTCTGCAATGTTAGAGTAAATTTAATTATTAAATTAATATAAACATTTGTTAAACATTTTAAATAAAATAAGATATAAATGCTAAATTGAAATTAGATAATACATTGCTGCCAATAATGTATAGGTCTATTTTATACACATTATATATTTACAATATTTTAAGTTAATAATGACTACTACTAATATATGTGTGTGTATTATTTGACAAAATGGACTTGAGTAGACACATTAAAACAAACATTCTTATAAACAGACTTTTTTCTTTAACAAAATAAATGATTTGTTTGTGGAATACGTGTGTTTTGATGAATCTGTGCTTTACAGATTCACACAGTCTTTCACACTTAAAAAAGACGCTCGTTTTCGCCACCTACTGGCGTTACAGTGTAGTTTACATTATAAACTCCGGTAAAATGAATCATTCAGAGAAAAGATTCGATTCATTGAGATGACTCGCTTCACGTCGCCGATTCGAATGCACGTCAGTCAACTGTCACCAACCGTCTTCTGAAGGTAAAACACTTTTCTTAAGTTATTTTATCGTTAAAGTGCTCTAATAAATGCTCTGTTTTAATGTTAAATCAGTAAATTGTTTTGTAACACCAAAACAAATACTTACCTGATTTTTAAAGTCGAGATCACATTAACAATACTAGTACATTGCTAACGTAATATACTAAGGTCTACTACCGCCCATCATATCAGAACTTAATTTAAAAAATGACTATATGAAATGATATTTTTATCATTGTTAACATAACCAGTGTTTTATTTAGTATTTTCACTGCTTATAAATGGTGCTAATATAGTTTTTTGTTACCTCAGAAATCATTTATCGCTGCGGCCGGACAGCAAACTACTCTTTGGCAGGTACATTAAGGTAAAACTGTTGTCATGGATACAGTTAGCTGTAGCCATCAGAATTAATTGTGTGCATGTATGTGTGTGTTTATTTATGTCTATATATTTATCTATCTTAGAAAATGGGCAAAAGATGAGTCCTAACATTAGTGGAATGGAGGGAGGAACCATCGACCTATGACATTATTGTTTCTTAAAAGAACCCACTGAAAAAGAAATTTGAACCTGGGGATGTTGTGGATGTTGCCTATGAGGATGAAAGTTCACCACCCACAGTTCTTGACATTAAAGGTAAAACGTACAGCAAACATCAAGACTTGTGATCATGAGTAGGCATTGGACAATAAGCGGTTTCAAGGTTTATGTCTGTTTGGAAAAGTCACGGTTTTATAACCACCAATATTTTCTGCTATACCGTTTCCAAGGTATTTGTAAAGGTTTTTTATGTGTTGTAAAGAAATCTGTGTTTTTGAAACTAATGACGACAGCAGCAGTCAATGATTTATTTTAATTATTTAGCCTGACATGTTTGCCGTTCCAAAATATTTAAAATCTTTTCTAAAATATAATGTGTTTAAGTTGTTGTTTTTTTACTCAGATTTTTAAAAATAACTTATTTTAGAGCAGTAATCACAATATTGTGATATTTTATCCAAGGTTATCATATCAACAGAAACTTAAATCCTGCTCATGCTTTATCATGATTGAAGATAAGTATTTTCAACTTTATCTATTTCTCTTTAGAGAACAAAGAAACTCTCAGGAGGAGGATATTCAGAAGAGGGAAATTTACAGACGTAGTAGAGAAGAAGTTTCCAAACGTACCAATAAAATTTATCAGAGCAGCAGTAAGGGAAAAAGTAAATGATGAGCACAAGTTACAAGTAAGGTAATCATTTGTGCACGCACACACACACGCACACACTTGTATGGACCCTTTTCACATTTGCGTGTTTTTTAGCAGCAGAAATCATCATAGTTGGTAAACTCAGAGTGCAGTGAATGAGAGAGTACAACTATTTTTTTTTTTTTTTACAATTCTATTTGCTACAGAAAACCATGTCAAATTTACTGTCCTGTCCCCATAGACACTTCATTAGATACTCCTCGCATTGTTTTTTTAATTTGACATAAAGATTGTATTATACATAAATGAATGTAAATGTACATAAGTTTAAAAAATCTAAATATTAAAAACTTTAAGGTATTTAGGATGCAGATAATCTTTAACAACACATCATAACAGTTTTGTGAAAAGGGTCCATTAATTGTTTATGGGGATTCTTCATAGCTGTAATGGTTTTTATACTGTACAGACTGTATTTTGTATACTCTACCACTTACAGGACACTTTTTTTTTTCTTTTTTTTTAGGAAAATGGAGTAAACGCAGCCTGTTCATTGGATTCTGGTCTACTTTTTATTTTTATTTTTTTTAACAATTTTAATAAATAATTTGTGAAAATACATTGATTCATTGTGAAATTTCTCTAACTTCAAATCTATCCTGCACAATAATCCTGCAGGAACTATATATTTTAATAGACCTGTAGGATTGTAATTCCTGCAGGAACAATCCCTGCATAAATTTCCTTCATAAATTTCTGTCTTAAAATTTCCTTCACAAAATTCCTGCAGTTATTCCTACAGGAAAATGAGCTGAAAATCCTGTAGGATACCTGTATGAAATTCCTGCAGGATTCCTGTAGGCTATTTTTGTAAGGGCATACAAAAATAAAACTGTATATAATAAAAAGTTTTGAAAAAAAAATATAAACGTCACAAATTACATTACTTATTTTATTATACTTAAATATTTAAATACTTAAAAAGTGAAATTACGCATTAACTTGAGCAGCTGTTTTCCCACGCTAACTGTCTCTTCTTCACTGATGGTTGCTTCTTTTCAAATATATACGCTCAAATTTGCTATAACTTTGCATGAGAACATCAAGTTCAGCTGGAGAAAGAAATGGTGATCTTTTTTATAAGATATTGCCATAGTCACTCATAATGTCTGCGCTCCATTGATAATGCCTTTTTAAAGTCACGGTGTGCGCGCTTAACTCTGAGTTGGTCTACTCGAAGTTGATTGACCCAACTCAGATCAGCTATTCTGAAACCGAAAACTCATTTTAATCTCTCGGTAAATCAACTCAGAGTTCAAGTTTAAACTCTGAGTTGTTTGAACCGCCTTACTGAAACAGGCCCCTGAACAATATGTCAGCAGCACAACATGCATAAAAAGCACAGCACTCTCATATACTGACACACAAGGATTCTCATAGCTTAATATTATTGTCCTTGACCCACTAAAGGCCTGCATTTTGGTATTTTCAGCACCTTGAACAGTCAGGCAACTTGCTGTCTATGAAGGAGCTCTCAGAATTCAGCTAAAATAACTTAATTTGTGCTCTGAATATGAATGAAGCCTCAGGGGTTTGGAATGACAAAAGTAATTAAGTAGCATGTTACATACTGTATTTATACTTGATACACAAATATAAAAAAAGGCACTTCAAAATTACCTTAGACTGTTAACTTACAAAAATACAAACAACAACACTTACTCATCATCGTCATCTTCCTCATCCATCTTCATTTTTTTCTATATAAAAGAAAAATTGTTAGAAAATGAGTCACAAAATTACATCAAAAAATGTAGTTCCCAGCTAATTCCAGAACTCACTGAAGGCTTTGGAGTTGACAGCGCTGGCCTCTTCTTGGATGTCATCACGGTTTCCTCTTCTTCCTCCTCCTCCTCCTCCTCATCAAAAGACTGATCTCCTCCCATGACTGAAACATGATTCCATTAAGAAATTTCCAGATAACCACAAACAGTTTGAGAGCATTCAAGACTACAAACAATACTTACTAACAAGATGCTGTCCACTAATGTGAACCGGACCAGAACCAGTGCGCAGACGGAAAACAACCGGTGGCGTGATCTCAAACCCACCCAAACATACCTGCAAACAAAACGTTCATTAAAATCAACAAGGAAAATAATTGAAATGTATGAAATGTCATTACAAAAATTATGACCAAGTCTACTTACACTTGGGAGAGTTGAAGGCTTGAGTGTTGCTAGAACTGCCTTGACCTTCTGACCCTCTGAATCTTGTCCTTCAATCTCCACAACATTCAATTCATCTTTTGTCGAGGGATCCACACAGGCCTGCAGGAGCATGAACAAATGCGTTAAGTATGACTTTTAAGAGCTATCAAAATTGAGGACCCGTGTGTGTGTGTGTATATATATATATATATATATATATATATATATATATATAAATAAAACAAGAAACATCACATACCATTCTAACCGATAATTGATGATCATAATCATCATCCTCTGGATTAAACGTGATATCCTTGCCTGCTTTCAGTTCACAACCTGTAAAACATAAAATTTTATAAGAAAACAAGACAGATATCTGAGACAGTCTGATTATTTTTTTGTTAACTGTTGAACAATCCACTTTCAAAATCAGTGCATTGGTCTGTGTTAACACATGGACCCTTTGTATGATGAATGTGTTAAAAGGAACAAACAACATGTGGACAGGTTTGTGGGTCGTTAATTTACTGTTACAGACTAAGGTCAAACATTTAACCATAAGTTAACTACGGTTTAAACTAGCTTTGCTGAATATTGGCAATGTTCCATAGCCGTTACCACCGACATACCTTACAAAAAAAACTTAGTATATTTATAAAAAAAAGAAAGAGCATCTAAAAAACGTGAAAAATACATACAGAAAATAAGTTTACATTGCAGGCAAGCAATAGAAATGGTTACATGCGTTGTCTCGGTTAACACGTGTAGCAGGGTGACGCCATTTTGGAGCGCCAGTGCACGTGTTTAGAGAGCGCGTGCAGAGAGACACGAGCCGTACAGATGCAAGTTAGTTTTTCGTTCTCTGAAACTTGTATTTAGGGATTTATTTTCAAATTACTTCGCAAATCCAAGAACAAACGTAAACAAGCGTCATTTAATGGTTCGCTTCAATTTTGAGATTACTCTCTTATGCTAGCAGACTAGCTAGTACGAACTCATGCGACACACGTGTTGTAAGTATAGTCACCACACATCGAGTAGTTTAAAATAGATATTACACTGTATTTACAATAATTAATACAATTACTGTGCTTTAAAGACATCTGAGAATGGTAATAACCTGTGTTAGCTGACAGGTCACTCTACCATTCTCAGTTTGCTTAACTAATTAAGTGCCATGTACTTCTAGTACACTATATAGAATGTAATTAATGTATTACATACCGTACAGGAAGGTTTGGGGACCCATCTGTTCGAGATCCATGTCTGCAGGCTGTGTGTGACTGTACGTCGGCTGAAATGTGCAGTCAGCGAACACGAGTGCAGGAAGAGCACACTGACCCACATCGAGTAAATCACGCCCACTACTGTGACGGTCCTCCGGTCCAGCCAATCACTGAGCTCCAGGGACAGAGAATCACGGAGTTTGAGGTATGACTAATATTCATTGAAGAGCATGAGATTTAATCCGACAAATCATGTCTTAATTTATCAGTATTTGGCCATTAATCAACTGTGGTGGAAAGAGTACAGAAAAATCATGCTTAAGTAATAGTACCATTACTTGCCAAAATGCAGTACAACTAGCGTAAAACTATTTGTTGTAGATGTTACTCAAAATATGAGTAAAGTAGCCCTATTTAAAATACTCAAGAGTAGTTAGCGGTGAGTATTACATTGTGACCCTGACAGGATTTTTTTGGTGGGCCCAAAAAAGCAGTGGGAGTGGGGGATGTATCATAGACGAAAGTGATAAGCGAGGGGGTGGGGTGGGGGATGTTGGTGGTATCGCGGACAAAAGTCAATAACTGGGTGCGAGACGTGGTGGGAGATGTATCATGGACAAAAGTAAAGGGCGGCTGGGGGTCTTTGTTTGCAAAGTTAAGGGGGAGTGGGGAGGTTGTTGTACATAGAGGAAGAAAGTGTAGAGGCAGGGGGAGGTTGTGAGGGCCCCTGGGACCCCTGAAGTACGTGGGCCCTTAGAATTGTCCTCCCCCCAAGACCCAACCCCCAGGGCACCCGTGGTTGAAGCGTTTACATGCAATTTGTTCGCACGCGTGTAACTTAGTGCTTGTTTAAGGCCATTTAATGACTTCATCATCTTCTCATAAGTAAGAGTCTCTGGGTCATTGCGTGTGATAAATTTGGACATCTTTAGACACTTTTAATGGTTTCAATTGGTTTTCTGCATTTATAAAGTGCCCATGTCTTCAGGTAGGTCAGTATGATGCGATTTACTTTCTATGTGCGATTGAATTGGACAAAATCACAGGACTGATTTTTTTACTCTGCCAATCCCCATTGAAAAGAAAAAATAAAGTAGTTACAGGTTGAAGTAAAGTAGTGGAGTAAAAGTACCGATACAGCACTAAACATGTACTTAAGTAAAAGTGCACATTTTTAATAGAGATGCAAGGATTATAGATTTTGGTTGTACGATATAGTCTGATGAATAATCATGGTTTCACGATTATCACGATTATTATGCATTTATTCATTCCAAAACACTACTAGTTTAGAAAATCACATGAAAACTCTTATTCAAAATTATTATATAAAAATTATATTTTACAGTGTTATTAATTGCTGCTCAGTAACTAATTAATACAGCACAAAATAATAATAAAAACAAACAATAGTCCATTTCTCTCTTTGTGCTTAAAAATAATTGACTTTTTTTGCCATTTAAACATAAATAATTTTACACTGAAAACAAATCACAGAACAATAAAAAATATAAAATATAATATAAATATAAAATATAAAAATATGAAAGAATAAATAAATAAAAAATAGTATTTGTTCAATGCAGGGCTCGAAATGAATCTTTATACGTGGTAGCACCAGTGCTTTCGACTTTAAAAAGTTAGGAGCACCAGAAAAAAATTAGGAGCACCCACCAAAAATGAATGAGCACCACAGCAAATTGTATATTAAGACACATATTTTACGCAGCGGATGCTCTTCCAGCTGCAACCCATCTCTGGGAAACCCATCCATATGCACTCATTTATACTCATACTCTACAGACAATTTAGCCTACCCAATTCACCTGTACCGCATGTCTTTGGACTGTGGGGGAAACCGGAGCACTCGGAGGAAACCCACACGAACGTAGGGAGAACATGCAAACTCCACACAGAATTGCCAACTGATCCAGCCGACGCTCGAACTAGCAGCTTTCTTGCTGTGAGGCGATAACACTACCTACTGCTCCACTGCGTACCCTTCAAATAAATATGTCATTTAAAATGTTTTTTTACATTTTTAGACACAGAATCCATTAATACTCAGTAAACAATATAATACCTGCTTTTTGTTTCTGACAATCCAGCATTTGAGAATCTGTTGTTAATGTTTCATAAGATATCAAAGTAATCATCTTTAAACATCTTAACTAACAATAAATTACTCCAATTAATCAAATATTAAATTTGAGATGTTATATTATTATACATTATTATTATTATTATTGGGGTGGCTCAGTGGTTAGCACTGTTACTTTACAACAAGAAGGTTCCACTTGACCAGTTTAAATTTTTGTGTGGAGTTTGCATGTTCTCCTCATATGTTTGTTTGGGTTTTCTCCGAGTGCTCTGGTTTCCCTCACAGTCCAAAGACATGCGCTATAAGTGAATTAAATACTAAACTGGCCATGGTATATGTGTGTGTCTGTGTAAATGAGTGTTTCCCAATACTGGGTTGTGGCTGAAAGGGCATCTGCTGCGTAAAACATGCTCTAATAGTTGGTGGTTCATCCTGCTGTGGCAGCCTCTGTAATAGAGATTAAGCCAAAAGAAAATGAATGAATGATGAATTAATTATTATCATTGTTGTTATTAAAAATAATAAAAGAATGATATTTGTGTTCTACCAGAACCAGAGTGTAATTATAGTATCCAGCAAAATGACCCAATATTTTGTATAACATAGTAATAAACAATAAAATAAAAACACACAGCCGAATGTTCTTCCACAAATGATTTTAATCAGTTTGGACTGATATTGCAATTGCACAGCATATTTCTGTTATTTCATTTTCACAGTTTGTATTTGCCTCACTGGGCATTTCTTCATATGGCATGATACTTATGCAATTACTGTATATATACATAGCTTATATGTCATTTGATTGAACCTGACCACTTCCCTTTAATGTATTTGTTTTCCTTTTATGCAATTTACTGTAAATGGATGTGTTTTTCCACTTACAAATAACTGTCCTTTTTGAACATATGCAAATGTATCAAGGGACAGAAGAATATCCAGAAGCTAGATTGTCATTTGTTGGGTTTGAATACAGATTTTAAATACAGACTCTTTAATTCTCCTCACACCTTGCCATACATAGACACACTTTTACAGTAAGTTCTGTCCCACATTTTTCACTATGGTCTAATGGGCAAAATGGCTTGGCAAGTACTGAGACGGACAGACATAAGCAGGTCGTCTGGAAACACCAATTACAAACAAACAACGTTGACAACACAAGACACAAAATCAACATCCAAATATTATCCTCCAAACCCTGTTTCATAGATAAATACAGCAAATCATAAAAACAGATATTTAGAAGGCCAACGTTATTTTCAAGCAACTCATATCAGCTGGTCTTTATCATCATGCAAGCTCTTTTGTCGAGAAAGCAAGCAAATGGAGGATGTGTTTCCTCCTGGATGCAGTTCCAGAACACTAAATGCAGAGTCCTGAGCTCTAGGGTCAAGAAAATGGTCACAGGGAGCAAGGGTGTTGATCATTGCCACCCAATAGTTAGTTAGTCATTGCACATTGCCTTCCAAACAGTCATGAAACCTCATGTAGTCTTCAGTGGCTGGATAAAGGTGGATTCTGGGCCAGTAATTACCCAAAACACCAGCAAGAGACAACATTTAGTAAGTTACAAAGTATAAATAGAGAGAGAGAAAAACAAAGCTCATAGACTCTCATCCTTCTCAGGCTTTCAATTTCCCTTGTGAAATATAGCAGATATGTATTTAAACATCAAATCACTCTTGCTTTCTTTCCCTTCCTTTCCTCTTCTCTGTTTTGTTCTTTTCTTCTTTTCGTCGATCCTCTCTACATCACGTTTTCGAAGAGCTGCATGGATCTCATCATATTTTCATCCTGGTGAAAAGAAAATAGATTTTTTTTCTAGATGTAGTTCAGCAGTTTGACCACAATGAGGCAGTGTTATCTTTTTAGTTAGTTAAGCTCTTTGTTATTGCATGTAACTCAGTGCTTTACATGACTTTTTGTGTTTTGGATGTTTAGATAAAAATAAGCAGACTTAAAAAATGGTTTAAAAGACAATACTGTTATCATCTCAATGGTAACTGTGAAAAATGTGATTTTGTATAACAACTTAAAGAGACAGATCACCTAAAAATGACAATTCTGCCACCATTTATTTATATCCACTTGTTCCAGATCGGTTAGAGCTTCTATGGATGTCAGTGACTGCTTTTCCAACATTGTTCAGAATATCTTTTTGTTTGTTCAACAAAGTTTAGAGCCATTTTCATCTTTCCATTCTCACTTTACAATTAAAAAAATAATAATTATATATATATATATATATATATATATATATATATATATATATATATATATATATATATATTGGCCAGAATTCAGTGTAAAATGTCATTATTTAAAAAGATATACAGACCTACAGAATTAATTTTAGTGTGTATGAACATTAATAGTAGCTGTTGTTTTTAAACTACATAATGAACGCTGTTCAGGAGTTTGCGTCAGGATGATGATACATGAGCTGACTTTGAGCAATGTTGTTGTACAGTATTACAGGGTGTGATGCTGCTTGGCTACTTTCATAAAATTGCCAACAAACGTTTTACATAAAAATTGGAAATGTAAGTAGTTTGAGGTCTAGTTACCTAACTATCTCACTCACTATCCTTAGTTAGGATATCACTATCCTTACTATTAACTTAGTTCCTGATTTATACGGGGTCGCAACAGTGGAATAACCTCCAATTATTCCAGCATATGTTTTACACAGTGGGTACCCTTCCAGCTGCAACCCAGTACTGCCAATTTAGTTATTCTTCACCTATACCGCATGTCTGTGGACTGTGGTTAAAACTGGTACTTTTTTACTGTTTTACTTAAGTACATTTTTAAGACCATACTTCTTTACTTTTACTTAAGTTCAAAAGTGTAGTCAGTACTTCTACTTTTACCAGAGTCGTTTACTTCTACTTAAGTAAGGGATGTGTGTACTTTTGCCATATCTGGCTCCAACTTGCCTCAACACACCTGCCAGGACATTTCAAGCCTATTAAAGCAGCGGTCACACTAGAATTTCTGTGTGCGAAATTCTGTTGTAGGGCGGTGTAAAAAGGGGTGGGATTAAACAAGATGATTAGACATTTAA